GAGAGAGAAATTGGGGGGAAATAGAGAAATTTAGGGAAAAATACAGAAATTGGGGAAGAAATTAACAAATTTGGGGAGGAAATAGGGAAATTTGGGGGGAAACGACCAAAATTTGGAAGGAAATAGGGAAATTTGGGGGGAAACGACCAAAATTTGGGAGGAAACAGGCAAAATTTGGGAGGAAACAGGCAAAATTTGGGAGGAAACAGGCAAAATTTGGGAGGAAACAGGCAAAATTTGGGAGGAAACAGGCAAAATTTGGGAGGAAACAGGCAAAATTTGGGAGGAAACACAGAAGTTTAGGGAAAAGATATGGAAATTCAGGAGAAAATGACCAAATTTTGGGAGGAAATATGGAAAATTAGGAGGACATTCAGGAATTTTGGGAGGACATTCAGGAATTTTGGGAGGACACGGGCAATATTTGGGAAAAGATATGAAAATTTGGGAGGAAATTAACAAGTTTTGGGAGGAAATATGGAAATGTGGGAGGAAATGGGCAAAATTTGGGGAGGAAACAGGCAAAATTTGGGGGAAATTAACAGATTATGGGAGGAAAATATGGAATTTTAGGAGGAAACGGGCAAAATTTGGGAGAAAAAAATGGAAAATTTGGGGGAAAGTAACAAATTTTGGGAGGAAACGGGAAAAAATTTGGGAGGAAACGGGAAAAAATTTGGGAGGAAACGGGAAAAAATTTGGGAGGAAACGGGAAAAAATTTGGGAGGAAACGGGAAAAAATTTGGGAGGAAATATGGAAATTTGGGACAAAACGGACAAAATTTGGGAAAAAATACAGAAATTTTTGGAGGAAACGGGCAAAATTTGGGAGGAAATGGGCAAAATTTGTGGGAGGATTTGGGGCGATTGAAGGTGTTTAGGTGGGAGTTTTGGGTCCGTTTTGTGTGGTTTTGGGTCCTCTCTGTCTCGGGGTGGATTTTGGGGGGGTTTGGGGTTTTTTGGGGGGGTCACCTGGTCGAGGATGAAGTTCCTCTATTTTGGGGGGATTTTAGGCTGTTTCAGGGGTGGATTTTGGGGCGAGTTGGGGTGGTTTTGGGTCAGCTGGTCCAGGATGAAGTTCCTCTATTTTGGGGGGATTTTAGGCTGTTTCAGGGGTGGATTTTGGGGCGAGTTGGGGTGGTTTTGGGTCAGCTGGTCCAGGATGAAGTTCCTCTATTTTAGGGGGATATTTGGGGGGGTTGACGTGGGTTTTTTGGGGTGATTTGGGGTGGTTTTGGGTCACTTGGTGGAGCATGAAGTTCCTCTGCTTTGGGTGGATTTTGGGGCGATTTTAGGTGTTTCGGGGGTGGATTTTGGGGCGAGTTGGGGTGGTTTTGGGTCACTTGGTGGAGCATGAAGTTCTTCTGCTTTGGGTGGATTTTGAGGCGATTTCAGATGTTTCAGGGGGTGGATTTTGGGGTGATTTGGGGTGGTTTTGGGTCACTTGGTGAAGGACTAAGTTCCTCTGTTTTGGGTGGATTTTGGGGTAATTTTGGGTGTTTCGGGGGTGGATTTTGGGGCGAGTTGGGGTGGTTTTGGGTCACTTGGTGGAGCATGAAGTTCTTCTGCTTTGGGTGGATTTTGAGGCGATTTCAGGTGTTTCGGGGGTGGATTTTGGGGCGATTTGTGGTGTTTTTGGGTCACCTGGTCCAGGATGAAGTTCCTCTATTTTGGGGGGATTTTAAGTGTTTTGGGGGTGGATTTTGGGGCGATTTGGGGTGGTTTTGGGTCACCCGGTTGGGAATTTCCTCTATTTGGGGGAGGATTTGGGGCGATTGAGGGCATTTAGGTGGGAGTTTTGGGTCCGTTTTGGGTGGTTTTGGGTCCTCCTGTCTCGGGGTGGATTTTGGGTGGATTTAGGGGTGTTTTGGGGGCGTCACCTGGTCGAGGATGAAGTTGCGGCGTGCGCGGGGCGCGATCTGCACCAGTTTGCTCAGACACTGGGCCGCCTCCTGCACCAGCGCGTCCCGGCTCCGCGCGTCCAGCTCCGGCTCCTCGGGGCCTCCCGGCTGCGGGGGGGGGACACGGGGGGGTCAGCACCCAGAGAGGGACCCCAAAATACACCCCCCCACACCCCAAAATTACCCCGTATCGTCCCCCGGGTCCTAAATCCCCCCCAGGGACCCCAAAACCTACATGGGACCCCCCAAAATGCCCAAATTCCAACCCCACTGGATCCTAAATCGCCCCCCAGGAACCCCAAAATCCCCCCAAAACACACCCAGGATCCCCCAAAATCCCCCCAAAA